TAATCAAGAAATTGAAACAATGACTTTTTATTTGCCTTAATTCCTTTCTCACTGAGTAAAGACTGAATTTTTATGCTAAATTTCATTTTAGATCCTATGTGCCCCATTGGTACCTGCTCCTCCGAGGATTTTCCCCGCCGGGCGTTCCAGACAGCGGTGTCCTCCTTGTTTCGACTCGGCCGAGCCCTTTTTGACAGCAGGCTTCTTCTGATTACTCACCGCTCGCCGCTTCAATTTCAGGTCCCTGTTCGGGCGCCACTTGTCGCGAACCGGCGACGCAGAGCACTGTCCCGCAGTGCCTCAAACCTGAAAGAGCAGCGGGGTGGAGATGGAGCAGAGAGAAAGGAAGGACGCCAAGACAAGAGTCTGATCAAGGCGACATTTATTGCAGGCAGGCATCAGCCTTTTAAAGGAAAAGACCGAACTATTATGGGCTAGGATTACCATAGTAACCTCAATACCTGCTCCTATAGATAACATCAGATCTTTAACATAACATAATGGAGTTAACAACACCTGACTCCTATAGATCTTTGGCTGTCCTTGTTTCTCCCGTGCAGGGTCAAAACAAGTTTAACACGTGCAGTCCCTTAAAAAGGAACAAATGTTGTCTTTCAAAAAGCCAGTGGGCCATGGCTGGCTTCCCACAATCTTGTACTGTTTAAAGTCGGGATCATGATTAACATGTAAGTTAGTGGTTCTAGACTATGAGATAAAATCTGTACCATATATAGAGACCCCAAGTTAATTGTCAAAATGCTCATCCGGAATGTCTTGGTGACCTTTGAATCATAGGTATCTGTTAATCATCAATGTGTGACTGCGGAGTACGTGACTGCTGACCACCAACACAAATCAGCAGACTACTAACCTTTGTCCCCTGCCTACAAGTTTAGAATGTTAACCCACCTTTTTTCCCCCTGTATAAAAAGGACCTCAGCCCCTGAGCTGGTGCCTTTCTGAGCTACTTGGCTTTGGGAGTGCTGTCTGGCCAGACTAATAAAGGTCTATTTACCATCTAGCCTGGTGTGTTCCTTCCTGGGTGACTCTTGTTCTTCTGTCAAGCCCCCGGAGCCTCGCTGAGCTATAGGTCCCAGCATCATGGAGGCCCTTTTGGCTGTTCACGGCTTACGGAAGTAAGGCCCTGGGTCTTGCTTCCGGAGCCATTGTTGGGCTTTAGGACTTTGTGGAGGCCTTTCGGCTGTTCACGCTCCGTGGAGTGGAAGTGAGACTTTAGGTCTTACAATAGAGCATGTGTGGTGTATTTATTCTAGTCAGGTTCACTAAGCTTGAATCTATAAATTTTTACTTTTTATCAAATTTGTAGAATTTTCATTTATTCAATTTTTTTTCCTACTCTCCTATGATGCCATAAGTGCTTGTGTTAGTGATTTTTCTCTGGTTGCTGAGACAAAATACGTGATGCCCAAAGTTAGAAGGGAAGGGGTTTATTTGGCTTCCAGTTTATAGAGGTTTCAGTCCATAATCAGCCAAGTCCAAGGCAGGGATGACAAACAGGCATGGCACAGCAGAAACAACATGGCACACACAAGGTAGCAAAGGTAATGAGGAGATTAACAGTGTCTTTCTGCCCCCTTTTAGCTTATTCAGAGTACTTAGTAGCTTAAATCCTAGTGCCCTTGAGCCTAGCATGGCATCATGAATCAATTCCAGCTTCGCACTCTAGATCAATCCTCTGACCACATGAGGCTTTGGGGGAACCTCCAGACCCAAACCATAAAAGTACTCCACCCGAGTTTTGGTTTTTTTCTGAACACCCACTCCAACATGCTGGAGCTAGAACCCAGGAACACAGACTCCTTAAAACAGACATCTTCCTAACTTCCCCTGGAGGGAGTGGAACTTGTTCTCTTTCTTCAGCCACCCTCAGTGCTGAGATAAATGGGTGTATGCCACCATTCTGGCTTCCCTTTCTTTTTAATGAACAAACTGTTAATTATGTTTATTTTTACAGAAGAATTGAGCAGAAAGCACAAGGTGTTATGTACCCTTGTAGCCTCATGTTACTCTTGTTTCCCTTATTATAAATATCTGGCACTCTCGTGGTAGTTGTGTTACAATCAGTGAGCTAATATCAATATATCATCAACTGAAGTCCATAATTTACATCAGGATTTATTCTGCATTGTACAGTTCCATGAATTTTGACAAATATATAAATAATGCATATCACCATTATAGCATCCTGAAGAGTAATTTTGATGCTCTAAAAGTCATCTGTGCTTAACTAACTCACTCCTGCCTCTGAACCCATGGCAAGCATTCGTCTTTTTATCGTCTCCATCACTTCACCTTTTCCAGATATTATATAACAAGAATTATGCGGTGTATGGCTTTCTATATTTACTTCCTTAATATAGGAGTAGGTATTTTAAGATATTGTAAGATGCAGAGTATAACTTCCACTCCACGGAGCGTGAACAGCCAAAAAGGCCTCCACGATGTTGGGTCCTACAGCCCAACCAGGCTCTGGGAGCTCAACGGAGGAACACGAAACCCAGGAAGGAACACACCAGGCTAGATGGTAAATAGACCTTTATTAGTCTGGCCAGAGGACGCTCTCGGAACCAAGTAGCTGGCTCAGAGAGGCGCCAGCTCAGGGCCTGAGGTCCTTTTTATAGGGGGGTAAAAAGGGGGGTTAACATTTTAGGCTTGCAGGCAGGGGACAAAGTCTGCTGATTTGAGCTGGTGGTCAGCAGCCGCATACTCAGCAGTTACATATTGATGAGTAACAGATACCACCTATAGGATGTTTCAAAGGTCACCAAGACATTTCGGATGAGCAAACAGTTTGACAATTCACTTGGGGTCTCTATGTCTAGAGCCACTAGCTTACACATTAATTTGGATCCGGACTTGAAACAGTACAAGATTCTCTTTCATTCCTAGGCCAGGGTTAGAACAAAGGTTGGGGCTATGGCTACAATGGGAGGGGGTTAGAGCACTGTCTCCTAGGCCCTTTGTCATTTAGCATGGGCTTGTAATTTAGGTCTTTCAATACCTTTACCACTGAATAGTATTCTATGGTATGCACCCCAGTGTGTTTATCCATTCACCTATGGAAGCTTTGTTGCTTAAAGTTTTGGCAATTAAGAGTTAGCATTCTTATGTATATTTTAGGTTATTTGGGTAAATACAAAGGGACACGATTGCCTGCTCATATGGTAGAGTTTGTAAGAAACTGCCTGTCTTCCAAAGTGGTTGTACTGTACTGCTTTGCCTCCCCACCAGCAACAAATTAGTTCCTATTACTTCACCTCCAGCATTTGATGTTGTCAGTGTTGGAGATTTTAGTCACTGAAATAATTGTGTAGTAGTATCTCATTGTTACAATTTGCAATTCTGTTTTGGGGGTGGGGTGTTGGTGTGGTGGGTGTTGATTGAACTCTAGACCTTGCACCTGTGAGGTGGGCGGGGGAACCACTGAACTAAATCCCTGGCCCATAATTTGCAGTTCTTTAATGCCATTTGATATTGAGCATCTTTTCTTGTGGTTACCTTGGTTACTTGTTATCTGTATGAGTTGTTTAATAAGGTATCTGTTCAGATCTTTTGCTCATTTTTAAATTAATTTTATTTTCTTCTTTGTTTTTCTTATTGTTGAGCTTTAAGAGCACTTTTTATGTTTGGGATACCAGTTTTTTTCTTTCTTTCTTTCTTTCTTTATTTATTTTGTTATGGGGATCAAACTCCGAACTTTGCGCTTGTGAGGCAGGCAGCAGCACCAGTGACCTAAATCCCTGGCTCTGGGTAACAGTCTTTTTCCAGCTAAGTGTTTTGGAAATATTTCTTCCAGACTGGGGCTTGTCTTTTCATACTCTTAACAATGTCTTTTGAAGAGCAGAAGTTTTTAATTTGAATGAAGTTCCACTTAACAAATTTTTCTTTCGTCCATTATACTTTTAGTGTTATATTTAAACAAATCATCAAACACACACAGATTGTCTTCTGCTATTTATCTTCTATAAATTCTATTTTATATTTAAGTATATAATTCATCTTTAATTTTTGTGAGAATTACACAATGTGTCTAGACTGCTGTTTTTAAATGTAGATGTCTAGTGTTTCCAGCATCATTTGAAAAGACTGTCATTTCTTCAGTGAATTTTTTGAAAGCAGCTATTCTGGCTGAACTCATACTACCAACTGTGTCTTTCCCTATGGTAGGCAGCCTCTCAAATTCAAAGTCAAGGTTTTTAAACTTGGCTGAGATACTTATGATCTTGTCCACATATGCACGGTTCAAGTGTCAGATATTTGGGCAATTTTATGTAAAACTTTTACTCTTCCTCTTTGGTGTTCCTCTTTTTCCAATACTCATCACTTTCCAATGTCTATAGTTACCATGAACTTTGTTCTGTGAGTCTTCAAGCCATTATGATTATATTTCAGAGATCTAGTCAATCCATGCAGCACAGAGTGCCAGCTTTCAATAAATAAATGGGACATTGACTTTGTACTGTTCCCTTCTTCCAAATGTCAATTGTTAAAGCTTGTCATGGTGGCACATGCCTGTAATCCCAGCACTCAGGAGGCTGAGACAAGAGGATTGCTGTGAGTTCAAGACCAGCCTGGGCTACATAGTGAGTTCCAGGTCAGTCTCAACTACATAGTGAGACCCTGTCTCAAAAAACAAAACAAAAACAACAACCAGATGTCAATTGTTTTTCATATCTGTCTACTTTTGTTCATTTCTTGGACCTTCACATAGTTTTTCCCTTTTATATTGTGTGGAGTTTTTCATTGTTACCTATGGTCAAATCAGAGCATATTCATCCATGACCAGAAGCAGAACTAATGAAATTGGAAGAATACATGGAAAAGGTAAACAAAAATGAAACAAAAACACTGTTACAAAAATAAGCAGTGACTGTTATCTGAAAATTGTACTTTGCAATGAAGTTTCACAGTAAGATTACTTAAAGCATGTTGAGATATCAACTGATCTGTGCTTGCTTACAAATCTCTTCTTTCATTAGGTGTGTTTGTTGTTGCTGCTAAGCGAACACCCTTTGGAGCTTTTGGAGGTCTTCTGAAAGAATACAGTGCTATTGATTTGAATGAGTTTGCTGCCAGGGCTGCTCTGTTTGCTGGCAAAGTCCCTCCTGAAATCATCGACAGTGTCATTGTAGGCAATGTCATTCAGGTTAGTAGAGCAGGGGGCATTGTTCACTTCTGTTACTTACCCTGATCATTTTCTAAAAATAATTCCTTTGCTGTGCCACATGATGAATAAGTTAATAATAGTGACACGTTTATGAAATTTGTAATTTGAGTTATCCTTTGGCTCCAAAAGTAATAAGTCAAAACAACATATATTCTGGAAACTGTGTGTATATGTCTGACTGGGTGAATTTCAGTGCTTCTTAAAAACTGACTTCTTGGACTTATTTGAAATTAATTGGTTTTCTCTGTGTGCCACCTAAGAAGATGTGTTAGCCTTCTGTCACTGAACGAAATACCTGAGCTAATCAACTTAAAAAGAGAAAGGATTTATTTTGGCTCACGGTTTCACGGGTTTCAGTCCACAGTCCCTTGGCTCTATTGGCTTTGGACCTGTGGCCATGAATAGATCGTGGCTGGAGTGTATGGTGGAAAAGGGCTATTTACCCCATGGCAGCTGGAAGCAAAGAGATACAGTAACCTAACTTCTTCCCACTAGGCCCCCCTTTCCTAAAGGTTCCACCACCTCCCAGTAGCGTATGGGCTGGGCTCCAAGCCTTTAACACGTGGGCCTGTGAGGGACACTCCAGATTCAGACCATAGCAGGAGTGGCAGGCCCAGCAGTAAAACGCACCTCCCATAACTTCACATTTTAGGAGCTTGGTCAGTGTTTGCTGTAGGAAACAAGGAGCTCCCTTACCCTCTTTTTTCCTGCGTGAGGTATACGAAATAGATTATCCATGCAGATAATTGAAGCTGGATATTCTTTTGAAGTGTACAAACATGGAGTGCTCAGTTGAAGCCATTTTGGATGCTGTGTTAGTTACTTTTCTCTCATTACTGAGACAAAATACCAGACACCCAACATTAAAGGGGAAGGGGTTTATTTGGCTTACAGTTCATAGAAGTTTCAGTCCATAATCGGCCAACTCCTAGGCAGGAATGATGAGCAGGCGTGGCAGAGCAGGATCAACATGGCACCACAAGGCAGCAAAGGTAACAAGGGGGATTACTGGTGTGTCTCTGCACCTTTTATCTTATTCAGACTACTTAGTGGAAAGTACTCACACCTTTAATCCCAGTGCCCTTGAGGCTAGCATTGCATCATGAATCAATTCTAGTTTGACACATTCAAGATCAATCCCATGACCACATGAGGATTTGGGGGACCGTCTAGACCCAAACCATAATAGTTGCTATGGGAGAAGATTAAGTACTTGGAGTGGACCAAAAGGAGGTTATAATGTAATTGTGGAGATAAAATATGTATTTTTCGAAAGATCAATGAGGTGGTCACTGCTACAGGAAAGAGAACTACAATGGATACAGAAAAACACTAGACCTTGAATTTGAACTTCATTCTGTCCGTCCTGCCATTAGGTATCTTCACATACGCAAAAGTGATGTATTTTTTTTTCATTTTTTTCTTTTGTAATTATGTCTGTTAAATCTAAGTTATTTTCATTTTTTTAAAAATTTTTAAGACAGAGTCTTGATATGTTTCCCACGCTGACTTCAAATTCATAATATTTCTGCCTCAGCCTCCTTACGTGGCTGGAATTACAGGTGCTTACCACCGTGTCTAGCTAAGAATTATTTCTTTTAGTTCAACTTTTTGCCTTTTTTTTTAATTGGGGAAACTTTTATCTCTGACCTAAAAAAAGCACTGGAATAGATCAAATAGAAATAGGATACTTTGGTTTTCTGTTCTGATATTTTCTCTGACACATGTTTACCAATCTGTACATGACAGAGTATTATAAGATTTGTAATTACAAAACCGACAGACCTGGAGAAAAGAATAACCACTGACCAAGAATTTTTTGATAACATTAATTTATAAAATAAGATGATTTCATCTCCATCAGGGAATGAAATAATCAGTGGATTAATGAATGTTTTGTTGAGCTCTTCCCACTTTGATCTTCATTCAAAACCTCTAACCTACAAATGTATAAAATTTGTTGAATCTTATTTTGAAAAACTTCAAACCTTTATAAAAGTTAAAAGAATTGTGAAGTAAATACCCTAAAACCTTTTACTTTAGTGGAACAAGTCTTCAAACTTTGTCAAATTAGGAGGGCAAGCTGGTCTGCCCTCCTCAAATGCACAGAAGTACTTTCATTCATAGGATGGTAAGAACAAAAGCCAGAAAAGACCAACACGTAGAATCAGTCTGGCTCTGGATATTTTGAGGTCCAGAAAATTGTTCTGGTTCTGTTGAAACTTCCTTGGTACCATGACTGGGGGTGGCAGTTGTTAGTTTGTCAAGGGAAGCTGGACAAACAGCTTAACTTTTAAAATCCTAATTTTTTAAGTTCTATTTCAACTTAGTTTCTGTTCTACATTACAAATTTTTTTAATGCCATACTTAAAAATGGTTAAGATGGTAAGATTTATGTTATATGTATTTTACCACAAAAAATGCAAAAAACACAATTGGCCAAATTATAGTCCCTCTTCAAATCATAGGCACATATTATATAAAATATACTTATATGCGTGTATCCTACTTTAAAGCCTCATAGTTTATTGTATGTGATAGAGTGCCAGCATTTCCATGTCTTTTGCGCTTGTTCTTAATGTCTGAATTCATAGAGGAAATTATTTTTCTTGTCCCTCTCTCTGGTCCAGAGTTCCTCAGATGCTATATACATTGCAAGGCATGTTGGTTTACGCGTGGGAGTCCCAAAAGAAACCCCAGCAATCACTGTTAATAGGCTGTGTGGCTCCGGTTTCCAGTCCATTGTGAATGGATGTCAGGTACGGGCAGTATTTTATTTACTTTTCTGAACATTATATTATATTAAGTGTTACTAGAATAAATGCTCCACGTCAATAGAATATTTTAGTTTTTTTGCATTTTACAGTACCCATTAGATGAGATGAAATTTGAAAATTTTCTTGGAAAATATTCAGTACAATTGAAGTAGAAGCTTCAAGTGGAAGAGCTTGTCACAAAAGGACAAATACTATATGATTCCACTTACGCAAGGTACTAGAGTAGTCAGGTTCATGGTCACGAAGTAGGGTGCTAGTTTCCAGGAGCTGCAGGGTAGGGGGTGGGGTCATGTTTAATTGGTATGGAATTTTAGTTTTGTGAGATGAAAACAGTTCTAGAGATGAGTGATAAGAATGATTACACTGGGGACCGGGAATTTAGCTCAGTGGTTCTGCCACCTGTCTCGTAAGCGCAAGGTCCTGAGTTCAATCCCTGGTTTCAAAAAGAAAAAAGAGTGATTGCACTACAATATGAGTATATTCAGTGCTACTGAACTGAGCACTTAAAAATGGTTAAAGTAGTAAGTTTTGTGTATATTTTACCATACTATTTTTTTAAAAAGCTAATCATGACTGTCATTTTGTTTTGGGTGTTTGTGATTGTGGGAATTTAATTCAAGACCTCTTCCATGCTAGGCAAGTGCTTTACCCCTGAGCAACAGCCTGAGCCTGTAGCTATAATACTGTTAGTAGAAGTATAAATTAGTATGATCTCTTTAAATGACAGTAGGGTAAATATGTTTGTTCCTTTGAGAATGGGAGTATAGTAAAAGCCATTTTATTTATGAAAGTTTTCTTTTCCTTACAAAATAAACAAGAGACACATATATACTGTAATGAACAGGTTATTTTCCCACTGGTATTTACAGCAATATATACATTTTCCTAGCATTAATTTTAAACATCAGAGGCTTGTGAATTGCATCTTTTCTGAGAAAAGCAAATAGTGGAAGGAGTTGGTTTCTTCTAAAGCCCTCAGATCAATGCAGTTCTTAGAGATCTCTGGGCTCCTTCAAGTGCATCCATTAAGAGGATAAATTTTTCTTTTGCCTTTTTAATAGACTTGTCCTTTATTGCCAGAAAAGAATATCTGCAAGTTTTAAGATTTATGTTGAATTATGAATTGCTATTCTTAAACTTGGAGTTGTGGTGAATGCCTCTAATTCCAGCTACTTGAGAAGCTGAGACAGATTATAAGTTCATAGCCAGCCTGGACAATCGGGCAAGATACTGTCTTAAAATAAAAATGAAACAAGGACTAAGGATGTAGCCCAGTGGTAGGGTGCTTGTCTATCTGTATGTGAGGCCCTGCATTCAGTCTTCTCATCCCTCAGCATCTCACACACACACGCACACACACACACGCACACACACGAGTTACCTTTCTTAGTCAAAATGTAGATAGGGCTAGGGTATATTACTTAGGCACAAATGGTTTTTTTCCCCCGTTATATCCTGGGAATAGATACTTTAACATTGGCCTTTCAAGTACTTTAAGGTATTTCCTTTTGACACACTGTAAACTAGGATACAATATTTATTAGAATTACCGTTAATTTATAAAATATTTGTACGTCTGAGTATATACTCTGGGCACAATAAATGGGCTTTTTGGTTATCATTGTTTTTAAACAGGAAATCTGTGTTAAAGATGCTGAAGTCGTCTTGTGTGGAGGAACTGAAAGCATGAGCCAGGCTCCCTTCTGTGTCAGAAACATACGTTTTGGAACCAGATTTGGGTTTGATCTCAAGGTTGGAATCATTGAAATTTTTACAAATTATTTCTGATGCTATCATATGAGTGATTTTTAAAACAACTTTTTAAGGAGGAGAAAACTTAATTTTGTAACGTATTTTGTTCATCAAATACTGGCAAGATGTGATGATTTGATATTTGCAGATTATTTCAGAACTGTATTATGGTGGTTGACTTTGATATTTTAACCCCATGGAATTAGATTTAACTAGTGGATATGGGTGGAGGAGATGTAGAGGAAGAGAAGTGGTTTAAAAGGCAAAGAGCACTGAGGGTAGTGGTGCACACCTGTAATCCCAGCACTTGGGAGACTGAGGCAAGAGGATCACTGAGAGTTCACGGCCAGACTGGGTTACACAGTGAATTCAAGATGAACTACACAGAGAGACCCTGTCTCAAAAACAAAAAACAAAAAAACAGTATACAAAGGGTTAGTTAATCTGTACTCAATAGCTAGGATTCTGAGTAATTAAATCTTTACGATGATTTACAGAAGCTGTATTTCTGGGGCAGCCTCCATTGAATGGGTTTCTTCTTCATCACAGGAAACACTGTCCTTAGATCAGATTGTATTGTCCCAAATCACTCGGATAGACACTGACCCTTACTTCCATCTTTGAGAGCTATGACCTAAGATTGTTCATACTGATGAAGAACATAGTTCTCCACATGTTGACACGTTATGATTTTTAACATCTTGTGATAATGGCTGACTTACACTGTTCACTTACTTTCTCACCTGGCTCTTTTGGAACCTGGAAGGAATGAGACTTACAAAATAGGAGTATTTCAGCAGCATTTTAGATGTTGAATATATTTAAGAAATTCTTTGCAAGGACAAGTCAGTGGCTCTTAAGGTGCTGAGGCAGGATATAGGACACACTCACTAGAGACTCTCACTACTTGGATAATAATTGACTATCTTTCTGCTACATAGGGATCTGATCCTGGTTCTTTCGGCCTGGTAGTAACTGATAGGACCAGCTAAACCTGTCACTACAGGCCCTGGATGAAAAAGGAGCATAGATCTCTTCTTTCCTGTAGAGCTCACAACTACTTTACAGAGATGGCTACAGGAAAACATTTCATAAGAACTCAGTGTCAGATTTCATACAAAATAAAATCTTGAGAGATTAATTTTTGATTGTAGGGTTACTTCCTATATTGTTACCTTGCATTCTTAACTTTTGGCTCTCCGTAGAGTTCCATATTTAGAGACAGAATGTGTATATTTTATTATGAGACATTTGGGTTTTTTAATGGATTTTTTTAAATCCAAGAACCAAATATTAATAATAATAGCAAATATCAGAAAGTCTTATTTTATTATGTTGAGATTGGATTGTTGAAAGAAATTAAAACATTTTAGTTTCAAAATATAATGCTTTAACAAATCACTTTTATTAATGTCTTTTTAGCTGGAAGATTCTTTGTGGGAAGGATTAACAGATTCACATGTTAAACTCGCCATGGCACTTACTGCAGAGAATCTTGCTGTGCAACATAAAATAAGCAGAGAAGATTGTGACAGATATGCCTTGCAGTCACAGCAGAGATGGAAAGCTGGTCAGCAAAACTGGATAATTATCAATATCTGCAGATAAAAATATAGGAAAGATTTTCACCCTCTAAAATTATGATGAAGTTGAGACATGGTGGACACACCTATAATCCTAGCTCTCTGGGAGGATCACAAGTTCAAGCCAACCTGGGCAACTTAGTGACTTCATGAGATTCTGTCTCAAAATAAAAAAAGTGCAAATGCCCTGGGTTCAGTCCCCAGTAGCACACACACACACACACACACAACACACACACACACACACACACACACACACACACACACAATTATAATTAAAATATAATAATAGTTTAAACTCATACCTTTGAAAAAAAGTCACATTTTTATATTATTATGAAATCACATTTTTATATTACTCCTTTGTTTTTAGATGATCAGATATTCTAATGTTACAAAGGTAACGGGCAATTTCTCTTTTGAAGTTAATACCACTTAAAAAATGGTATTGTTCATGGCCCTCTGGGGACACTTGACATTGGTTTTGTCAGTATAGCATGCCAAGGCATGCAGCACACTCCATCAAAGGTGATTGCTCACTGTCATAACTGGCACAGAGGATGTCCTTTTCCAGGAGCCATCATGTAATCACAAGGAGGAGTGAGAGGTTTGGAAAGACCCGTGGGTCACCTTTTATTCCTTCTCCACTCCTGATTGAGAACCATTATACCTGACTCAGACTTGACTGGTCCAAAACCATGGCTACAGTGCGCTTGAGCCAGTCAGAAATGAGAAACACGAAGGTAGTTGACTCATCAGTACAACAAGATGAAGGAATTTAATGTCTCCGGAAAAAGTTGTTATAAGTAAATGGAAACTCTTATTTAGGGTATTAAATACCTGAAGTAATAAAGTTGCAGTCTGTTTTACATTTCAGAGGGGAAGTCAATTAGCTCATGCCATTTGGCTCATCTGTGTTTTCCCAGTAGAACAGTACTGATCTAGAAGTTGAGAGTTATCAGCTCTGTTTTTAATTCTGCCAACTACAGGTTATCTGACCTAGTCATTTATTCACCGAGTTATCAATAAAATAGAGATAACAATGTTACTTTGCCTATTTATCTAATAAAGTTGTTCTAAAACCAAATAAAGATATATGAGGGAAATATTTTGCCTACTTTAAAGTAGTGTCAAATTAAGGTTGTATGATTTCTGACTTACTCTGCTTTTGAAACTGTTTATTACTATAGTCCATTCTAGTAGAGGTTCAGAGTAGATGCTTTGTGTATTTATTTGTATTGGTGATAGCTCCTATAATTTTTCAAGTTGTGTATTACTGTTAAGTTCCAATTATAGATTTCATGGTGGCATATGCAACTTGATAATTTTTTAATCTTCATAGCTCACCTAAAGAAAGTTAAATTATTTAGTGTCATTGCATCTGGAGCTAATAAACTGATATTGCTAACAGTCTAATGGTATTTTCTAAGAAAAAAACGTGTTAAACTAAAACAATAATTTTTTAAAGGTACAAAATGTATATTCATAGACGCATGATGGTGTGTTAAATCCTCCAGTAGGGGAAGCAAGTTTGTATAAGTAGAAAAGACCCATGTGAGTGGAAAATAGACGAGAAACTGAATTGAAGCATATGTTTGGTTTCTTTCTTATTTCTCTTCTTTTTTGGTTTTCATTCTTGTGATAGACTTTCTTCTATTTCAGCTAATGATGCTGGCTACTTTAATGATGAAATGGTACCAATTGAAGTGAAGACGAGGAAAGGAAAACAAACAATGCAAGTGGATGAGCACCCTCGGCCCCAAACAACCCTGGAGCAGTTACAGAAACTTTCTCCAGTGTTCAAGAAAGAAGGAACGGTCACTGCGGGGAATGCATCGGTTTGTGTCACCCCAGATCAGCTTGAACTCTTCGTGCTGTGTTCCATGCACAATGAACATGGGATCTGTTTTAGATACTTTCATACTAATCTTTAGTTATTTACATTAAATCAGAGTGTTCTTACTCTTTTAATTTAGGTTTAATAGTCCAATGCAAAATATTTTAGCTGATACTCTTTTAATTCTTAGTCTTTTCAAAATATTAGAAGGAAATCTTCCTGGTTTATTTTATTTTTCACTTTTTTTCTTTCATGTGTGTGTACTTTATCAGATTTCTTTTCATATCTATCCCTATCTATCTATAGGCTTACTGTGACATTCTTTCCTGTTGTCCCTTAGTGAAGTTGTATTCTGTACCTAAAATAATCCCTGCAATCTACCACAGTACTACAAGTTGTATCCAAAATTAGGCCACTACTTCCTGTGTACCACCCTTTTTCTAATCCTATTCCATTAGAAACACTGTGCCATGCCAAGCCAGGCACCCGGACAGTGTCTGTAATCCCATCTACTCAGGAGGCTGAAGCAGGAGAATTGCAAGTGTCAGCCCTGCCTGGGCACTGTAGCAATACCCTGTCTCAAAACAAAAAGGGCTGGGGATGTAGTTCAGTGGTAGAGCGCTTCCTAGCATGTCTGAGGCCCTAGGTTCAATCTTTAGAACTGCCAGAGAAAAAATAAGTACTGCCCTCAAACTTTAACTGTATTCTTTTACCAGTTCATGTGTCTACTGTTTTTGTTTTCAAGGGTATATCTGATGGTGCTGGAGCTGTTATCATAGCTAGTGAAGATGCTGTTAAAAAACATAACTTCACACCACTGGCAAGAATTGTGGGCTACTTTGTATCTGGATGTGATCCGTCTATCATGGGCATTGGTAAGTTTATAATGAAATGAACTGATTCTGTTTTATTTTTGGAGATAGGTCTTCTTTGGAATTCAGATTCCTGAAAAAGCCACATCAAGGTTACTTGTAGAGAAATTTAAGATTGGCAAGCATTCATTTAAAAAAATAATCTTTTGGGCCATGGATTTAGCTCAGTGCTGCCGCCGCCTGCCTCACAAGCACAAAGTCCTAAGTTTGATCCCTGGTGTCAAAAAAAAAATCATCTTTTTAGGAAAACCAAGACCATGCAAACTCCCTGTGGGTAGCAATCATGTCTTATTGTCAATTTGAGATATTTAAAAATTAACACACAAAATAATAGAGAATTGTGTAGTGCTGGCAGGATAAAAGAAATTATGTGATGGGAGCAATCTTGGAGTGCGAGAGAAGGCTGACTGAAGATGGCACCACTACTCCCTGGTGGCTATACACATCCTTGCTAGTGAGTACTCCATCTTCCCAGCTCACTGCTACAGTGAGACTTTTGGTAAATGAGGAAATCAAAGTATTAGACCAGTAAGTCATGAAGTCAGGATCTGAATCCAAGTCTCTGTAATTAAAGTATTCTTTTCAATGTGAGTTAAACGCATTCTTTCAGAAAGTCAGAGTAATTCTCCCATGGCTCAGCTGACAGGACTGATTAGCAAAATGAAGAATTATAAACAATTATCTAGGTTGATATAGGTGTACTATTTGGAGGAAACTTGAAACTTCCTACAAATATATATAGTCTTGGCTTGATAATTATCAATTAGAAATAGGTGTTTTTTGCCATAGCCGCTAACTAAAACCTCTAGCAACAACAAGGTTAGAGAACAGCAGCAGTGTTGAGGATAGCAAGTGAAACAGTACATCCCCTTCTGCCCTACAGTTGGCAGGAGAGAAGGACTCTGACTGTAGACGTGGCTGTGACCAGTGGCAAGCAGCCTTGGGCAGTGAGGACAAAGAGTGGGAAAATACCATTCCCCTCTCCCTGCAACCAGCAGTGCAGCACCTTTGGACCAGGAAGTGAGCGCTTCCTCCAACTTGCAGACTTGCATCCAGTAGTGCAAGCAGCCTTGGGAAGGAAAGACAAGTAGCAGAAAGTTACCTCAGAACTGTGGATACCAGAGGAATTTTTTGTTTTGTTTTTGTTTGTTTGTTCATTTTGTTTTCCTCTTTTGTCTTTTTTCTTCATTAAGTTTATACTTTTATTGTGGTTTTTTTTTTTGTTGTTGTTTATCTTTTTTCTCTCTTCAACCATCTTTCTTTTTTTGAGACAGGGTCTCACTATGTAGTTGTAACTGACCTAGAACTCACTATGTAGCCCAGGCTAGTCTCGAACTCATAGCAATCCTTCTGCCTCAGCCTCCTGAGTGCTGGGATTACAGGCATGCACCACCATGCCCAGCCCTTTCTTTCTTTCTTTCTTTCTTTTTTTTTGTACTGGGGATCGAACTCAGGTCCTTGCGCTTGCAAGGCAGGTGCCGGTACCAGTTTTTTATTATTTTTATGTGAACAAACATTGTTGCTAGTCTTTCTGGTTTGCTTCAATATTCGTTTACTTTCTCCTTCATTCTTTAAATCCTGTCCTCTTCTCCAGTTTCCCAAAGCTTGAGTGATCATCCTCTGTCCTTCAGCCTTGCTTCTACTATTTTTCTCTCCAGTTTTCACTGTTTTGTCTCCTGTCCCTCTTAAATTCCGTATACACAGACTAAAATCACTTTACCAAGGGTAATTCACGGCATACAAGTTCCTAGTTTATATAACTATAGATCTTGCTGTTATGCTTAAAGGTACCTAATTAGCAGTTACCAGTTTATCAGTTTCTAGGCTGTGCTTGATAATATTGTTATTGTTAATTGCACTACTTTAGCCAGGATGCTATACCTGTTGTAATCAGTTGTTCACCCTTGTCTGACAACACTGTGATTCTCTGGGGTCATAATCATCATCATTGTCCAGTACCAAAGGACTGGAAGCTGAGCCAAAAGATAGCAACATTTCATCCCTAATAAATTGGGAAGATAGGATCTTGGGACAGACACAAAGACCAAGAGCCAGCCACACCTAGAAAACATCTCTCAAGAATAGGCATTTCCTTGTTAAGCCTCAACATTAGTGATAAAGCTGCCTAACACAAGAAACTTACAACACAAGTAGCAACACAGAAAACAAGTTAAAATTTAAAAATAGAAAATGACAGGACACAGATGCAAAATACAACCCCAGACCTCCACCCTACCCAGAATAAATCCATGGGACAATGAGGTAGAGGAAATCAGAAGCCACACACTGGAATTTTCTGAAATGATAGCAGCAGAAGTAAATAAATAAGTGAATGAAGTGGTAGAGAAAATTAGAAAAAAAATAGTCTCTCTGGTAAAAAAAGAGATGGTAATCATAATGAAGGACATTCTCAGAAAATCTAGAGTAGACATAGGTTTTTTTAAAAAATTAGAAAATCTTAGAAAAATACTGGAAACCAAAAATACCCAATATAGGAAAGAAATGGGATACATGAAACAAATTCAAACATATCCAGGAAATTTAAAATTCTATTGAAAGTTTGCAAAGCCAAATAAAAGAAAGTGAAGGCAGACTTTATAAGACAAATATTAACAGACCTAGAAGGTGGGATTGCAGTTATTATGAAAAGAAAGATCTCTTAGGGCCGGGGATTTCGCTCAGTGGTGCCACCACCTGCCTCACAAGTGCAAGGACCTAAATTTGATCGCTGATACCAAAAAAAAAAAGAAAGATCTCTTAAAGATAGCAAAGAATTACGAAAAACAATACAACAGCTGCAAGATGATGGAGAGAAGAACACCATAAGATTAATCAGAGTCAATGAAAAAAGCAAGAGTCACCGAAAAGGACATAAATAACCTGTTCACAGAAGTAATGGCAGGACTTTCCCAAGCATGGAAAAGGAATTGGACATATAGATAATAGGGCATATAGAACTCGAGTAGCCATGACCAAAATAAATCTAGACCAAGTCATATAATAGTCAAGATCCCAGAAATTCAGCACAAGAACAGAATATTTAAAGCTGTTAAAGAAAAGAAGCAACCTATAAAGGGAAGCTCATCAGAATCACAGTAGACTTCCAACATAAACCTTTAAGTCAAGCAGAGCTTAGAGTGAAGTATTTCAAGATTTGAAAGAAAAACAGACTGAAACCCAGATTGATGTACCCTGCAAAACTATCTTTCAGAATCAATGGAGAAGTAAAATACTTCCATGACAGAGAACAACTGAAGAAATTTATGACCACCACACCTGCTCTACAGAATGTTCTGAAAGATATTTTAGAAAGAGATAACAAAGACCACAATTCAAAGAAACCACCAGGCAAGGCAAGCAATTAAACATAGGGCAAATACAGGGAACCAGCAGCAGGAAAACAATATGACAAAGATAAGCCAATACATAACCATCCATGTAAATAGTCTCAATTTAACTATCAAAAGAAACAGACTGGCAGAATGGATCAAGAAACAAGATCCAATAATTTGCTGCATACAGGAAACACATTTTACTCAAAAAGAAATTCATAGGCTGAAAGTCAAAGGATGGGAAACAATACTTTATGCAACAGGAACCCAGAAAAAAGCAGGGGTAGCTATTCTATTTGAAGACAAAGTGAACTTTAAGCCAAGACTGATCAAATGAGACAAAGAAGTTTGCTATATACTTGGTAAGAGAAAACTCTTAACCAGCACACCCAACTTTATAAGACAAATATTAACAGACATGAGAAATCATGTAAGCACTAATACAGTTGTAATGAGCGACCTCAATACCCCACTGTCACAAATAGATCAACTAGACCAAAAAAAAAAAAAAAAAAAAAA